ATGGACTAAATTGGAGCCTAAAAACAGCGGAGACTTGAGAATGCTTCAATTGTAAGGCGGAAGAGAAGGAGGAGAAATAACATACAGTATTGGAGAGAAATGTTGAACAAAGGTAAAGTATAAAGACGGGACTTGGCAGATTGACGGTGAGCTAAGGGCTGTGGGCACCAGGGTTACTGATCGTCCTGATAATTAACAAAATTGGAAATCACAAGATGCAAATTGAGTGGACAGAGGCAGCCCTGAAGAGCACCCACTACGTCGATTTAAGCCAAAAGAAATGTGCAACTAACAGCAGATGTAAAGCACCTAGGAACGCCTTTATATAAATCTTCTATATTTACATTATAGGCCTAGACGAAACCATCATGTATGTGTGTGCGTGTGCATAGATAGCTGCAGACATGTAATGCAGGTGCGTGGACTCGTGGGAGTGGATGCGGTTATCTGAATCAACTTCACAAAATCTGTCGACAAAAGGAACAAAAATAAAATTAACGGGAATCAACTGATTTCCTTCGACCTGATATGAGCTCATCCAGTTTGATTTGGTCAGATGGACAAAGGAAGAATATGAAAGCCTGGAAAAACTGTAAATCGAGGTGAGGATAGTGGTGCTGATGCGTAAAAAATGATGAGATGAGAAGTGAAAGACACCTGGGCAAATAAAAATCAGTACAGGAGATAAAGATGAGTCTGCATGCACGAGCCCGGCTAGAGGAAGAACAACTGATCCTGATCCAGTAGAAAAAGACACTGGGAGTGACAGTCCTAATGAACCGAACTGATGGCCCTAATCGCAATTACACCCTTGAAGTCGGGTTTGCTAGAAGCCAAGCAAAATAAATAAAAATGGTTCTGGCAAAAAAGATGATGAATACCGATGAATACGTACTCCATTATTCTTTCATAGGTTGTGAATGCATAATCAGTAATGAGGGAACAAGAAAGAGGAAGAATGAGTAAATCTGGCTGTTGCCTAGCGGCTCTCTCCAAACTATGTTGGGAGTGCGTAAACAGTGAATGGAGGCGAAAAGAGATGATCAACCGTGGGCACATGCTATGTGGCATCGATAGACCAATTCATGGCAGAAGGCGAAAATACACTCATCCCATCTGAAGTGTCCATGAACTCGGCGAAATCAGCCAGGCCTGTAGGAGACGAGGACAGCATCAAAGGTAACCAATTGGCCCGGCTGACAAGGTCCGGCCGGGGAGGAGTAAAGTCCACGAGCACCTGCGACGCAGAAGCATCGTTCAAGTGAGTGGTGCCATCACTAATGCTCTGAAGTGCCGAAATGGAAGCGTGGATCGGCATGGTACCGGAGGTGATCGGTTGTGCTAACTGATGGGGATGGTGATGCTGGTGGAAGTAGCCAATAGGCGCCGGCGTCCAGAGACCAAAGGAGAGGTCGTCAAAAGCGCCAGCCTCTCCAGACACAGACTCGGACAGCATCGCCGGATTGGCATGAGGCAACAATACATTGTTCTGGCTTCCGGGCTGGACAAGAGCCACACTCCCACCGCCCTCAATACACGTCGTGGATCCCATAGGCCCCGTGTCTAGCTCCGTCTGCACCTCCATTAGACATGCGTCTTCCGGCTCTATCACTTCGGCGGAAGCAGAGATTTCTGGCACATCTCCTGCTGTTGAAGAGATTGAGTCGGGAGACAAGAGATCAAAGAGAAACTCCTCGGCACTTTGAGCCTGCGAGGGAGTTGGAGAAGGTAGGTTGACACAAGCAGGGTTGGCAGCGGCAGTGCTAGTGATAGAGGCAGTGTTGGCAACGTGAGAACATGGCAACAACACTGTGCTATATGAGGAAAGTGAAGGTGCAGAGAGATTTGCAGAATCGGCCAATCTTGTCTGGTGTGGCAAGTCGCTGTCATCTGGAGCTGGGTCGAAAGCGGTCTGACTAGCTGGTTGTGTATCCATCAGGGAATCGGTGTCGAATACTTCGGCGGCAGACAAGGAGAAGTCAGCCGGTTTATTCTGGAGAGAAATAGCACAGATGAAAGAGCAATGACAAGTAACCTGCAAGCTTGCAAATAAAATGGTTCTCTGCTAAACAGCATATGCCTCAAAAGCCAAATATGATCACCCCGAGTAGGTCCAGAAGGAAATGTACCGGCCACCATCAGGCTACCTCACATATCAATAAGAGTTAAACTCAAGCAAAATTCTGGAGGTAAGTAGCAGACTAGAAAAAAAGCACTTGAGATTGCTGGTATGTAGGAGGGTTACCGTCTAAGAGGGAGGAAAGCAGAGTGGTAGGCATGCCAGAGACAAAAAAACAGTGAATCCATATGAAAGCTGATGATCCACAATGAATGCTTTCCGACGTGCTATTAAGTACAGTTATATCGCACCTTATAACAGCAATGCATATGAGAAAGTCTGGGGGGCCAGGGGTCTGACTTCCTCACTTGGTACTATTATAAATAAAGCAGCCTTATTTCGGCCCAAAGAACAAGAGGGGCCACAAGATATAATTAAGGAACGCAACTATAAATAGCTAAAAACCGTTTAAAAAAGATCGGCTTTTCTAAAATCGAAATTTTCTAATGATTCGAATGCAAGTTCCAGATAACCCTCATAAATATAAAGGATAAGTATAAGAAATCTGTTTAACAATTCAACGAGAATAAGCACATACTTTTGGTTTCCGGCACCATAAGAACTACATTCGGCCGAAATAATTTAGTATTCGGCACAAAGAAATCTCAATGGTGAATTATGCTGTGCCTTTTATGGCATAAATTCACTCTACTTATCTCAAAATTTTAGGCTGGTTAGGGAAGTTTAACAGTGCTAATTTAGAGATGACTGGTCCGAAAGTAAATAAACATAAAAAACCAAAGTAAAACTTATTCGGCAGAGATCGCGTTCGGAAGCGTGGCCAGCTGATGATTATTTTAATGATAGAAATGGGTTGATCTCGTTTTCGCAACTTGGTCCTTTTGTCATGGAAACTTAATTAGACGCACCTTGTCCGAAATCCTCTGCTATAGTAGTTATCACAATTCCCGGCTTCTAACTATGGACTTTGTACATTTCCAGATGTTTCGCCGGCATCGTCAATGAATCTTTCCATTCTCAGCATCACTTCCAGTTACAACTCGCCAAAGGGACAAGGTAAGTCACCCTTTGACCAACTTTCTGTCGAAAGGGTTGTGCTATCACTCCTCTTTCCGTCCTGGCCCCTACCCTCGTGTATCACTCTCGCCATATCACAATTTGTGAATTATTACATTCCAATTCTAAAAAGGTGTCTTTTTTGCTGAGAATGTTCCAAATCAGTGGTCCGACGCTGGGAATTATGATAACTAATATAGTAAAAGACTTCGTACAAGATGCACCAAACTAAATTGCCCTGACAACAAGACCAAGTTGTGAAAACGAGATCACCCACTTATTTACATCAAAAGGAGACTGCAACCGTACCGAGGGCAACAATATCTGGGTCTTCGTATTTTTTAAAGATAGTCTATGTATAGATAAAAATTTTAATAGTTGTCAATAGATGCGTAGTTAGCGAGAGCGCAAAATGAACAATTCAAATTTTTTTGTCCTAAACTAAATTCCCATTGTTGTGGGGACTTTTATTTCGTATGAAAATGCATAATGAGTATATACGTTGATTGATCATATCTGAAGACGACGGCAGCTTCCTGTTGTTTTGCAGCCGTTTGTCTTTAATAAGACGGATTACGAGCTATCATTCCTCGTTTCGGGTGAAAAATGGCTGAACTTTCGTCCATCATATAGCGGGCATCAGCAGAGTGGGAACTCATTCTTGCAGAAGTCTCAAGTTAATACTAATTCAGGAAGACTAGTATAAAGGAGAACCAACTGAATTATTATACATATATATATATATATATACAGTTTTTTACTCATGAGTATATGTAACATGTAGGATAGGGCCGAGTAGTCTTCATGTCTTACTATTGAGACTTTTACAATAATGAGTTGCAGCTATGCTGAGTTTCATCATATGAGGAACGAAAGCCCAGCCCACTTTCATCTGGAATGAGAGAGGATGTCTCATAGAATGCGCCAACCTGAACGTCGTATTAACGGATAAAGGACATCGAGAATCAGCTGTTGTGATGAAGGATTGATAGCAGAATTTTTCCACAATCATATGAGTAAGCCTTACACTTAAAATGAATTTCACTTGGTCTTGCTTCCAAAAGATATCTGGAATAGAATTTTGACCTCAACCAAGTCTTATCAACACCTCCAGCGGGAATCAAACCCGGATAATGCAACGTGGCGTTGTGATAACATGTCGAGATTATACGCTGTGCTACTGCAACCAGGGTTCGATTCTCACGGGGTATGCTGATGAGATCTGGCAGATGTGGAAACTGCAGTCTACTCTGGATGAGCATAGTTTTGGCAAGCAAGTCTAAACAAAATTTAGTTGAAACGTGAGGACTACTCCACCAAGGGCCACCAAGGAGTCCCACCAATCGGCCTTTCTGGAACAGAAGATCAATTGATAGACGTGATGAAAGCATCAGAAGGTTCAGAGCGGTTTGAATGTGGGTCATAACCTTGTGTCTATTTAAAATTTTAGGCTAGCTTATAGATCCTATCCATTCTATTGCGCCAAACCAGAACACGTAGTATTATATTAAAAAAGCAATAATCCAAGTTAATAATTTCGCGAGCCTTATTTCAACTAAATAAAAGGTTTTCGCTTAACTAAATTTTCGCAACTTGGTCGGAGCGACAGGGAGATTTGGTAATATATATACCTAGTCCTGCTTTGTCTGCCTAGGTATTCATGATAATTTCCAGCACTGAATCGTTGACTTTGTAAATTCTAAACTTGTTCAGTCCTTCATCACCCTATAAGATCTAGAGTAACTAAAATTTTAGTTAAAGCTGTGCCCAATTAGGATACATATAAATAAAAAACCCAGAAAATATGGAAAGTGTGAAGCGGAACAAGAGTAACCTTACATAAAAGTAAATTGAAATAAGAGGTATCTCCAGGATATGCAAGCATCAATAGATTTAGAACTTTGTTATTTGATTTGATTCAAGGCCCCACAATACCAGATTATTTTAACCCTCTTATTACAAGCCTAGATTAGGAGTATTCCATTGACAATAGGGAAAACATGACAAACGACTCGATTGTAGTCAACCATCAGATAGCGTTTTCCACTGTTGGCAACAACAGCATATTTGAAAAAGGCATGCGACATAAAGATTAACCCGTCACAATAGTAAGAATTTGGATTTGATCATTCTAACAAGAGCTAGTTTTGTATTGCGTAAAAATAAGGCCTACCTCTACGAGGATCTCAGCTTGACTACCCACAGAGTAGACAGGACAGGAAGTAACCAGCATCGAGATTGGACGACGAGAAGGTAGTTGTGCCCCGATATGCGAAATCCCGACAGAGGTCTTCTCCTGTCGCGATCGTGTCAAAGAAGAGGCT